CTTCTGCTTGTCTTTGCTCCCCAGCACTTGGCCTCAGTAACTGAAGGTCAAACCATCGTTGCAAACATCTGCCACATGGGAAACGAGGCTGGCAGATAGACTCTATCAACTGGGTGATCAAGGGTTAATAACTGCTTCTCTTCCGTCTTTGTATTCTTTTGGCATCCCCTTCGAAGTCTGTCTCCCTTATGTCACTCCTAAACAGCCACTCCGGTCACATCACCCAGACTCTCTATCAATCTACAAAACCAATACTTCCCTGACACTACCCTCTCCATCGAGTCTTACACTGCTACCATGGTAATCCTCCTCGACCCCATCCCACCCCATGAAAATCTCCCGTGACCCACTGGTACCTAAAGCAAAGGTTGTTACACTCCAGCGTGCCCCTTGCGCCCCAGAGTCTTGAGATGGGAATAGAATTTGGCATGTTTCCTAGGTTCACCCGGGTGGTACAAGAGTTACGTCCACTCACCAGGCAGCCTGGTCAGAGAAACAGCTGACACCTGACTTCCACAGAGATGGCATAAGAAACCCCGATGGAGCAGCACTACGCTGTTGGTCACGATCCACGCCATGGCCCCCAACGGCATGCTGCTGCTGCCGGTGGTCCAGGAAGCATCTCTGGTGAACCATCAGCCTATTGCAAAGATTCTCTGTGACTGGATCCTCAAGAAATACACGAGAATCACCTGAGGAGCTAAAAGATGCAGAATTGAGTCCTAACCCACCACCACTCTGGTTCTAGGGGTCTAGGGCGGGGCTAGGGATCCATCCACAGTAGAGGAACCTAACATGTAGCCAGCATCAAAAGCTATCACCCAAAAAAAGGAAATTTTTTTTTTAAATCATGACACCCACAGTTAGCCTCAACCTGAACCAAACCTATCGATCCACACTTAACCATCTAGTCCACCCATGAAATCCTGGGACAGCTACGTCAGCTTTCTTTTGCTGAATACCCTTGCGCATCAGTTACCTGTATCACCCCATGCACCATCCCTCCTGTCCAAAGAGTTATTCCCCATCTCTTCCACCTCCAGGAACCTCACCCATCTTCAATTCCAAAACCTTCTTGGTCGCCTCAATGTGTCTCTGAGTGGCCAGGGGCCACACTGTGCCAAGGCTGTTAGCAATGTTAACTTGTCTGTGCCACTGCATGCTGGGCTTACTGATGGGTAGGCAGCCCGATAATTTCAGTAATATGGAAGCTGAAAGAAACCTGGGGGAGCTGGATGACACAGAAACCTAAAAACAATTTAAATAGTTAGATGGAATTCTTATAAAAAATGCATTAATCTCAAGTCTGCAGATCCATGGTACAGATGAATACATCAATAGTACAGCAGTTAAGAGAATGAAGATTCATTCAAGGTATTACTGAATCACTATTTTAAAACATACTTATTTCAAAGATAGGGAGAAGGGAGAGGGAAAGGAGCCAAGAAGGGTGCTGCATCTTGACCTCAAATGAAATAAACACAACACGTGAAGTGAACTGCTATTGCCGTGGGCCTTTCACCTGTTTTACTGCATCACTATCGTGCTATTTGTCAAGTAGCCATGACAACGGGATACGCACACATCACCATGAAATAACAAAAGTACAGCCAATTATATGATCTGAGGACCACAAAAACCCCAAGCAACCCTGCTGTGGTCTAGTCAATCCTGACTCCTAGTGAGCTGAGAGAGGTTTCTAAAGCCATAAATGCCTATGAGCGCAGACAGCCTCATCGTTCCCCCTTCCTCTGGCAGGAGGGGATCTGAACCACTGACTTTGCAGCTCCAGTGCCTGATCTGAGGACTACAACTGCCTAAAAGGCAGCGCACGCAACTTGTATCTTTTTCTTTCGTCTCTTAAGCAGAGCTTGTTCACTTCCTCTTAAACTGTTAAATGCCCAACATCAGATACTGAAGCCAGTGGAGGGAATGAAGACAATGGAGCCACAATAAAAATAAGTCAAGTCGTTTCCAGAAAGTACATTAAGGCTGCCGGGGGGGTGGGGGGGTGGGGGTGGGGAGAGCAGATCAGAGAGGAGTGAGAAGTGACCGCCCAGTGGTACAGGCTCTGGCATCGCTGTGTTAATGAAATGCTCAAAGCTTGGCTTCTTTTCTGTGTTGGGCTAAGAACTGAACCTTTCTCTCAAATCATCTGTATTCTCTTTATCAGTAATCATCCTAAGTTGCTTGAGTAATAAAACCTAAAACGGAAAACAAGCACAAAGGAATGACGTCAGAGGACGGCTGTACAGGTCCATTGGCATCGGCAAAGCCACGGCATTCCGTACGCTTAACAGACGAACTTCATCATCTGTCACTACAACTCAACACTGTGATCACAACTCGTGCCACACCATGAAGACAGGACCTCTAAAACAGGGCTCCCCAGAAAACAAGTCTGTAAGAGGGATCAATGGTCCAGCTCATGATTTTAAGAGGCCTTATTGGAAAATTCACCTAGAGTTTTTGTTTTAAGAAAACTGCCATCGAGTTGACCTGGACTGACAGTGCCCCCTTACAGGGTTTCAAAGACTGTAACACTGTACAGGAGCAGACAGCCTCATCTTTCTCCCGCAGAACGGCAGGTGAGTTTGAACTACCGACCTCATGCATGGTAAGCAGTCCAACACTTACCCAATATGACACCAGGGCACCTAATAAGCCAGAAAAAAAAAAGTGTTCATTTTATGGTTTTTTTTAAACATTTTATTTATTAAATACTGATGGATCCTACTGTTTCCAAATCAAATTCACTGCCATCGAGCCAATGCCAACTCACAGTATAAAACTACCAGCTACTCCAAGGGCGAGAGATGAGGCTTTATATTCCCAAAGAGTTTCAGGGGCAATTGTACCCTGCCTGAGGGGGTCGGCATGAGTCAAAATCGACAAGCCCTGAACCGCTCAGCTCACGTATACATTTAACGATGCCCTTCCTCCAGGTCACAAGACCCATCTCCTTGTCTTTTCAACTGGGTAGTGACTGTCTGCTGGCATTGGTGGGTTTCTGAGGATCGGATGGTGCTGCTTTCTTTGCAATGTATTTGCCTTGGCGAGAGTCCATTTATGGGGGTATCGGCCTGACAATGCAGAGACGTTCAGTCTTTTGAGGGGTCGAGAATAACCCTTCCTGAAGGGCTGAAACTCCAAAGCCAAACTCACTGCCATTGAGTCAACGCCGCCCCCTGTGAGTTTCTGCGTCTCTAGAAAGTCTGGTCTATGATGGTTTCAAACTACTGACCTTCCTTTCGGTTAGCAGCCCAACAAGTAAGCGCTATGTCTCTGGAGTTCTAGAACAACACCGCTTTTCCTAAGGCCTGGCCTTTCTGAGATTGGAGCGGAAAGTCAGGGTGTCTTTGGCAAGGAAATGGACTGGAAGGCTCCCAGTCAGATGGCCAGGTCGTGGTCGTCCTAATTTCTTGGCCAAACCAACATACAAAGAAGTTAAATAACCAGCCTCTAAGCCACCAATAGATTTTATTCAATACACACATATTCATCGAGTGTCTGATGCAGGCACATAGTTCCTGGCTTGCCAATACACAGAACACAGGAAATCAAGTTCCAACCCGTATTCTTTCTCCTGAGGAAGCAATTAAGCCCAGAGACTGCAGCAGCAAAGGACCTAATGAAGGAATAACCAAGAATCAATCAGTCAATCCTCACGGAGCACACTAGGCTCTCAGAACTAACTGCAATTTACAGCCATGACTTTTTCCCCCTGAAAAGACTATTTGCCTGCAAGTAATTTCATCCCTGCATAGTTACATTTTCCAATTCCCTCCACATACATAATGTCATTCGAATTAGTAAAATCTAGCTCATCAAGTCACCTCTATTTAGCTATGCCACGCGCGCTTCAGCTGACTCTTAACTGTATTTCTAACTTTTCACTGGCCAAGTAAAATATCTTTCCCTGGCACTTAGAGAAAAGCTAATGCATTTTCTAAACACTATCTCAGCAACTTCATACCAAACAGTAGCATCCTTCTTCCAATCTGAGAAATTAGCCACAGGGGTCCGCTGATACCTTACACATGGTTTCTTGTCTTCTTGATCTTTTATTTAACCCCAGATATGCAAAAGTAGACTGGTGGGGAATGGTCAGTAAAATTAAGCTACATGTGCATGTTGAGTGTGTGCATGTGTATGTAAATGGTGTTTTAAAATGCTCCAGAATTGACTACCGTAGTGCATTAACTCCGCTCTCTGGCTTAACCTTTTCAAAACTCAACTATTTTCTGCTGTGAATTTTTGGTAGACACCATGTGTTTTCAGTAACGAAAGGCCTTTAGAATAAGATGGATTGTTGTGGGTTTTTTTTTACATAATATGGATTTTTTTATATATATATCATTACTGGGACACATATGTCCCAATAGGTCTCTTGGGGTTGATGGGATGAGGCCTCCTTCAGATTCAGTCAGGGCTTCAGGACCCCACTAGTGGGACAGACTCTTCCCACTAAACCACAGGGTCAGGAAATGTTAGTTATACCACCAAGTCGGCTCTGACTCACAGTGACTCTTGCACCACAGAAGGAAACACAGCCTGGTCTGGCACCGTCCTCACAGCTGTCTAGTAACAGTTGAGCCCACTGCTGCAGCTGCTGGGTCAGTGCATCCTGCTGAGTCTTCCTCTTTTTCGCCGCCCTTCTCCTTTACCAAGCGTAATGCCCCTTTCCAGAAAATGTTAGTGGATACTATGATATGCCCCACCTGCCATGAAAGCAGGCCAACCAAGACTAGAACATCACTGCTCGAGCACATTGAAGATCTCTTCTTATGTATACAGTCTAGCCCAAAAAACAACAAACAAAATGCGAGTGTTTTAGAAATTTCCTATCACACCCAGTATGAATTCCCAACATCAGCAGCATCTCCTCGAAATGCAAGTATTATTTCTTCAGCCTGCTTCGGGTAAAAGTTGGGGTGCTGTCCTTTTATTGGTTTATGTTTTTCTGAGACCAGGTGCCCCCCTCTAGAAAAGGGCCCTACCTGCAGGACATCCTGGATCTTCACCCACACGTCTGCCATGTCGTACAGTTTGACTTCTTCCTGGTGAGCCAGGGGTGGTCCGACGGCCTGCTGCAGGTACCCCAGGACCACCGCGTGTGCCGCGGCCACAGCATTGAACTTGTCAAACAGTAACTCCAGCAGCTCGAGAAGCAGCCTAGTAGTAAGGACAAGAAGAAAACAAGGGTCATCATGAAAATTCATGCTCACGCACATGGTACCATATGATGATGCCACAGTTAGCATCGATGGGCGCACGAGCTAAGCAACCTTTCTTCGCTGCTCTGAGCCTGTTTCCTCTGCTGCCCAGCAGAAGCATATAGAGACAGAAAGCCCCGTGGTAGGCAGCCTAGGGCAGCAACAGCAGCTCCATCAACCTGGTCTCTTCTTTAATATATTTCGGAGATAACAAGACTGGGCAGTTTCTCCACAGTGAGGCTGCTCCCTGACGATAAGTAAGGTGGGCCCTGTGGTGCAGGCATGGGCATTTCCATCATGGAAACCTGTGCTTCCTACCACTCACAGGCCGAAGCTGTCTGACAGCAACTACCAGCACCACCACCACCAAATACACACATGCCAAGCCAGCCGCCGTTCACCACAGGGAACACACACACCCCCCATCACCGCACCTCACTTGTCAAAGAGGCTGGACACATACCACCCCACCATGCCTCCGGTTCTATACACCAAGGACACAAAACAAGGTTGCAAGGCAGCGGGGCCTTGGACGAGAGTTGATTTCCACATCCGGGGCCCTGCCGCGCACTACAGATCCCCAACGCAGACGGCTCTGTGGAGATCACCCAGAGCTCTATGGCATGGAACCACGGGGGGCCTGCCTGGGCCCTGAGCCTGCCCACATCACTGGTCTGTCTCCTGGACCTGCCAGGGATTGGGTCCCCTGCTGAGGAGCGAGCCATGTGTGTCAAGGAACGGTCCTCATCCTTCACCTCCCTTCTCCATCATCGGTCTTTCCCGGCAGGCATGGCCACTGTACACCTCCGCACTCCGGAGAAGGGTCACCAAATAAATACACGCTGACTGAACTGACCCCGCACGTCACCGACGACGACAGCGACAGCGACAGCGACAGAAGCTCTTGGGGCGTGACTGTGACGGCTTTCCTCAGGGCTCTCGAGTCCGCTCCCAGAGTCGTTTACAGGCTGGCCGCCCAGGAAGTCGAAGAGGACACTAAGAAGGCTCGTCTGCAGTGTCTCTTCATGAGACAGGACCCCGTCAACGACAGGTTATAACGACAGTCTCATCAGACGGCAGCTTATTTTCTATCCCTATGGTTTTTTTACTGCCCAATTATTGGAATTAATGTGCCAGTATGACAGCCCATAACTGCCTGATGATAAGGCCCGACCAGCTCTCCCACGCTGCCATCAGATGAGGCAGAATCAGGGAGTCGCGGGCAGTTCTCCCAGGCTAGAAACTGCAGCATCGCAAAACCGTACATGCTACCTGTCAACAGGGCCCCTCTGCCACTAAGCATGACACTTTTTAAGTCTTTTTCATCGTTTCAAGGGCAGTTCAAATTTGCATGTACATATACCTAAAACAGGAGGAGCCCTGGGAGAGCAGTGACTGCGCTTTGGACTGCTAAGTACAAGGTCAGCAGTTCAAAACTATTATCTGCTCCGCGGGAGCAGCATAAGGCCCTCTACTCCTGGAAAGAGTTACAGTCTCAGAAACTCACAAGGGCAATTCTACCGTCCTGCTGGGTCCCTACGAGCCGACATCAAGATGGTTTCTGGATACCTAAAACAAGGGTGCCAGAGAAGAACGCTGGGGGTACCAGGGCCTGCTCAAAGGACAAACTCATCTGATTCATCTCAGAAACTAGGGAGCACTTCTAGTCTGTCCCCACAGGGTCGCTGTCAGTCAGGTTTGGTTGTTTCCTAAAGCAATTCTCCTGCGCCCACCTGTGTTATCTGAGGACCACCTGCGTATCAGCGCAGAGATGGGTCCACGCGCAGCAGCCGAAACCACTCCACCTGTGCAGAACTGGGTCCTGCCTCACACAGAGTCAACAGCCCACCACGCAGAGGCTCCACTTTTCAAATAAAGCTTTCCGCTGTGTGGGTACGCCTGGAGTCCCTAACGATCAATCCACAGACCCTCGTGCACTCTGCAGCGGCCCAGAGCATTCACAGGAGAAAAATGTGGCAATCTGCTGACACTTCACAAAGACAGCGGCACTGAAGTTTACAGCCTTTCTAAGTCTCCTGGCAGGAAAACCGTAGTCGTTTTCTGGCATGATGGCCGTGATGCTGCCAAATGGCCTCACTCGACCCAATTTAAAGCACCATCACCTTATGTTAGGCCCCGGCACGTGGGGGAGGCTCATCCTGCTGCAGGACACCAAGGCCTGGGCACACTGGTGTGGGCCTGGACCTCTCACAGCTGCAAGTCTCAAGGCAACAAAGCAGAAATCCCAGTCCGCTGAGCCGACCCAGCTGGTTCTGCGCCCAGGCCGGGTTTGTGAGCCAACAGCAGTGCCAGCTTCGGGCAGGGCTCTGTCTGAAGAGACTGGTGAGGGAAGAACTGCAAGATGGAACCCAAGGTAGGCATCCACAAGTAACACAAACCAAAAAGAACTCACTGCCATCAAGCTGCCACCAACTCACAGCAACCCTACAGGGCAGGGCAGAACTGCCTCTGGAAGGTTCCCAAGACGGTAACTCTGCACAGGAGTAGAAAGCCTCATCGTTCTCCCAAGGAGCGGCTGATGGCTTCAAACCGATGACCTTGTGGTTAGCAGCCCAATGCATAACCACCACAGTTGAAGAGCTGCCGCAGCGTCACATCCTCTCTTGGTCAGCCCACGTATGTCACAGTGAACCTGCGGGGCGAGGAGCTTTCAGCAGCTGGTTTCTTTGCAGGTAGACAGCCAAGTCTTTTTCCCTGAGGGAGATGTGTTAGCATCGTGGGCGGAGCAATCCTTCCCGAAAATGTTAACCTGGTACAAACCCAACCACGAGCCTCCTCCATCTCACTCCTACCCAAAGCTAAGTCAGCAGCAGAAGATATGGCTCAGCTGCCTCAATCCTGTTAGGCAAGGTGTTTCACCTCTGATCTGGAGGACAAATGAGCAGGCAGGAGCATGAAGTTACAAGATGATTCTGGAGATGGAACTGAATGACGAACAGCTTGGATAGGAACAGGCCTGAGAACCTTAGAAAGGAGCGTTTCGGTGAATTGCAGTGAGCAGGGTGGGGGACCTGGCACGGGCTCCCTCGGCTGTCCCTGGGCCACTATGTACAACCACGGCAGTGAGTGGGTGGGTTCCAGCAACTCAGGCACCTAGTCGATGCCGCCACCACCACCACCACTCATGAGAAAAAGCTCTCGCGCTCTCTCTCTCTCACACACACACACACAACCACTGGATATTTCCACAGTCCCATAATGAAATATCATCATTTATAGGCTAAACCATCAATCCTGATACGGTATTTAGGCTTAAATTGTAACGTCTATGGAAGGTCGTAGTCCACAAGGAAAACCCTGACTCCATTTTTGAGTCGACCTAACTTCAAATACCGTTGGAATTCTTTATTCCCCGGGGCTTGCTCCCCAGCAATGTGGCTGTGCTGGGGCAAGCCTTGGGAGGGGAGGGCAGTGTGGCTTCATGGAGAGTGTGGCTGGAAATCAGTGGGCAGCAGGTTCACACACAGAACCGGGCACGGGCCTGGGCAGTCACCAAAAGGAGCCTGGCCCTCAGGCATCTGCCCATCCGCACACACTGTGGCACTTCACCCCGCCCGACATGGTGGCACTCCCGGGGACACTTTGGGCTGCTCAAGCAGTTGAAGCCGACTATCTGCTTGAGACGGCCACTGACTGACAAGGGCTGAAACCCTACCCAGGGTCACGGGTGTTACAGTCAACTTGATGCAAGGAGAAGGGGGTGAGGGGGTGGGGGGAGGTCTTTAACAAGTAGCTTTAACAACCTAAAAAGAGCAGCCAAAAGTTCTGTGTGGAGCTAACCTTCATCAGACAGCAATAAAATCTATCTCAGATAAGGAAAACATTAAGATGAAGCAGCATTCAATCTTTAAGGCTCTACAAAGAGTCTTCCTCCAGGTGTCAGTAAGGTGTTACTTATTCTCCTAGACCTTGGACCATCCTCTCTAGCGGCCCCTACCCCACCTTCCGTGCCGCCATGGGGGGAGGGAGAGAGGCAGAGGCGTAAAGAGAAGAAAACCTCAGGCACTGTCCAAGTGGCACGACTGTAAGGCCCCAGCATCAAGCTGGGGGGAAATGTTCACTATTTAAGGTGGGTTAAGGCCATCTGAATCTAAATTTCACCTCCAGGGAACCTTGAATTAGTCACTTGGCTGGAAAACCCAGGGCTCCAGCCAAGAAGCCACCTGGCTTGGTCACGAAGCAGAACCCCCAGGGTGGGAAACCAGCCCTGTCCTAGCACTCGTCTGTCGAGAGCGTCCCATGAAGGTTCTGTTTCCCCACTTTACCACAGCGCTATGCTCCAGGGTTACGAAAATACTAAGCTTGGCATGGGACACTGAAAAGGCACAGGCCATAAACGGTCTGGGAGCTCCCTGGCCCTCTAGCCCAGCTGAGCTGGTGGATTTCCTGTCACACAGGGTGAGGAGCCTCTTCAATCTTCAAGGTTATCTCCACCTACTGAGAAGGGGACAGTGACGAATCTCATCACTTTATTAATAACGGTCCTCGTGTACAAAGAAATGACTGTTGGAAGAAGGCTGACTCATTCTCCATCTGCACTTGGAAAAGAACAGGAAAGAAATCATTAGCAGCAAAGAATGGGGCGCAGCAGAAACACCAAGAAGCCGGGGCTGGATCCTGCTCCCGTTGCTCAGTCCGTGCCAACTCAGCCGTGGTGCCTGGGCTCTGGAGAGGGGCCCTTGAAGGAGCATCTCATGCTGAAGTGACTGAAGTTTAAAAAAAACAACCCTGACCTTTTTCTTGAATAAAGGTGTCAGTCTCATTCTTTATTCATAAATCCACTTCCCAGAAACAACCAACGGGAAGATTTTAAGTGGGTATTCTTAGTGTTCACTGCCATTGACTCCATTCCAACCCCATGGAGCCCTGAGGATGCAGGGCTACACACTGGGCTGCTAACCACAAGGCCGGCTGTTCAGAATCACCCCCAGCCGCTCC